AACCCCTCGGCTTTTCAGTGAATCTCCTTCCAGAAGCTTTAGGGGTCCTGAAATACCGGGATCGCTATTAAACCCCACATAGAAGATTAAATGATCATAATAAATAGGGTCTAAAACGAGCCAAAGGCCGGAGCTGAGGTTTGTTTTAAATGTCCCAGTTTATACACCACGCAAATAACGTAACATTTTTTTTGTAAAAATGTTTATTTAAACCTTTTTTTCCTTTTACAACAATAAAATATTGCGTCAATATAAACCCCTGGACTAAAACTGGTCGACGATCAAACATTACAGCGAATCGTGTATTTTTAATTTTTTTACACCCATTTCGGCTTTTGGAAACCATTTTTTTTAAACATAACGTGGAATTTATTGAAAATAAATAATCGTTGGCAACGGCAATAGGCAATTTTGAATAAAATAGTTGAAAAAAGCAACCTTTAATGAAAATAGCGTTTATTATACATCAGTTACTAAATGAATAAACTAAATGATCTGTCTTTAAATTAATAACTTCCAAAAAACGTTTAATATACAAAACTGTACAGGTATAAAGTTGGCAGAAATAGTCAGGTCCTCAGTGTCGAGATTTTAGCGCTTACTGAAAAATACTTGAAAAATATAAATGTCAAAATGAAAATCTTAATGTTGGGGAGGAGGGGGGGAGGATCCGGGGAGCGAGGTAATGCAATTTGCCAATATATCTGCAGCTTCAGGGATGCAAAGCGGCAGCAGGGTCAACATGGGCCTTCTGTCCTAGCTACCAGTATGTCTCCCCTCCCAGAGCTCAGCCAAAAACTGCGGGAGGCAGGGCTGGCTTGCCTTTAAGTAGTATGGTTTTGTGTGTGGGTCTCCAGATAGCGAGCTGTGTGTGCGAGTGTATAAATAACACAATATTATATACACACGCACACAACCAGGCGAGAGTATCCCGCCTCTATGGAGACCGTCATTTTACAGTGTGTTTGGATCAATATTTGTGTATTGTGTGTGTTTAGAATGTGTGATTTTCCGTGTGTGTGTGTAGCTGGATATATACACACACGTCTGTATACACTCACACATATATAGTATGTATATACATATTTACACACATACATACTACATATCTGTGTACACACACAGAATACATCTCTACTGAAGGCTGGGAAGAATACAGCACCGCTCCTTCATATGCCAGAAAAAATGGTTACACTTTTTTAGCATTTTTATTCACTTGCCTTTTTTGTTTATTTGTTTAATAAAAAGCTTTTCAACAAATCTAGCATTTCCCTGTGAGACGAAAATAAGCTCAGCATGAAACAAAGGCGGGCATTTCCCCGAAATTCATTGAGATACCTCAGAATCCCTCTTTAATATTGAAACAAAAATACAGAGAAACTGATTTCTGAAGCCAAAGCGCAGAATTATTAAGGTGTTTTACTACAGACCTTCGCAGTCTGCCGCTGATCAGAAGCCCAACACGTTTTCAGGAAGAAAAGAAGGGACAAATCCTTTATTTTAGTTGCAATGCTTAATTTCAGATCTCTTTTTTTTTCCTCCGTGGAGGAGGGAAGAGGGAGTCGGGGGATTTATTTCGGAATTTCAATCTGAACCATGTCGTGGTTTTAGGAAGTTATTTGAAAAGAAGGAAAAGCTGCAACAAAATCAGTCTGTTTTGTTATTCTTCACAACGTGCAAGCGGCAGTCAGCTGTGTTACAGTCAAAGGAGGCACAACTTCCTGCCTTTGGGGTGCAGAAAGGGGACCCCACTCCTCTAGTATGGAATTTGGGGGAATGAAGGGAAGCGAAGGGAAGTACTCCTTCTCCCCACTACAGTAACAGTGATATGCCCAATACATGGGGAGGGGGGGGGATGATGACTGATCAATTCGGTACAAATTATGCCACAAATATTGTGTACAGTTTGTAGTAAAACACCTCAGACATTTAAAAACGCTATATAAGTCTTTAAAAATGCAAAACTAGTCTATTGTAAAACAGATTCACCTGAAATACAGCTGATATAACCAAGGCGCTGGAAGGTTATTCATAGGCACACATCTGTCTTTTTTTTTCTTTTCTTCCTAGTGGAGACCGAAAACAAACCTTGTTTGATAGTAAACAATATGTACTGATCAGCGAAAAGGTTTGAGAGAAAATATTGCCCAGGAGGAAGAGCAGGAAGCCCCATGCTCTAAGTCTTCGAGTATTTGTTTTTGTTTCCTCTTTAAGCATAAGTTAAAACCCTCTTAGAAAATCCGCGCTGTTCCCAGTCCTGTCTGCGAGCCGAGCCCTATAGTCAAAGATCATGGCAGGATGTGTCTGTTTTCACGTTATGAGAATAAACCTCGTGCTGCTGCTGATCCCCTGGTGGAGTCATTCTTTTCTCTTTTTGTCTTCTGTTACAAAACCAGACACGCACCACTTCTTTCTCCAACTGCAGGCTGTCTGCCAAGGAGGAGATCTCTTGGGCTGCAGGTTTGGGACATTTAAGAAAATGAGTTTCCAAAACCCCTTTGACACTCACCTCTATCGAGGTTCTCTTCTTTCTTTTCCTGCCTTGGGCTGCTATTTTGTCAATACTAGTCGGGCTGCCGGTAGATGAATCTGCCTCTTCTAGCCACTTGTTTAGCAGCGGTTTCAGTTTGCACATGTTCTTAAAGCTGAGCTGCAGAGCCTCAAACCTGCAGATAGTAGTCTGGGAGAAAACATTGCCATAGAGAGTCCCTAGTGCTAAGCCAACGTCTGCTTGAGTGAATCCCAACTTGATTCTCCTTTGTTTGAACTGCTTTGCAAACTGTTCCAACTCATCTGATGTCGGCGTCTCCTCGTCAGAGTGATCCTGACAGTGATGGGAGCCTATATCTCCATGATCTGCGGTGTCCCTCAGCACTGGGTGCAAGCTTTGGGTAGTGGCTGAGGCAGGAGGTGGTGTTAGACCCCCATGGTCCAACATGCCACTGACTGTGAAGCCAGGTTGCGAGTAGACATTAATAGGCTGTCCACTGGAGGTTATCGATGAGTTATGAGCTGGACTGGCTCCCCATGCGTTGGGATGATTTGTATGGGGCGAGTGGTGAGACACATGAGGCGACCTGTGATGGATGATTGCGCCAAGCTGGAGATCTTCTCTTCCTGGCTTCACGTCTTGCTGGTCGAGGGGGCTCGTCGCTAGCGTGGAGGACCACGGAGTCCCATCACTGAGGCTGGTCACCCAGTGGTGTCCGAGCGGATGCCCATTGCTAGGAACTCCCTGTAAGTAGTCACTTTGGAGAAGTTTTTGAGGGTTTCTGAAAGGACTCCCTTGCTGCATGCCCGCAGAGTCTGCATGGACTAAGGAGCTGGAACTGAGAATGCTGTAGGGATTAGAGGCAGCTGTGGCCATGGTTGGTGTAGATCCCCTACTAGTTATAATGTGGCAAAGGGAGCAGCTTCAGCCTTTGACATCTACCAGGCAAGGGAGCCAAATCAGCAACCACAGAGTTATTGGCAGCGCTGCTGGCCAATGACAGCATTTCATCTGTCGGGAAGCTTTGGCTGCGCCAATGAGGGGTGAAGAGGCAGGTCGCGCTGTCCAAATTAGGTTTGCGAAACCCAGGAGTTAAAGTGAGTCTGAAGCAGGAAGTGAATCAATCTTTAGGCTCCATTGGTTGCTGCTAGCTAGCTGTCCACGGTTCGTTTGTTTAACTCTTTCTTCACTGCATGCCAAGATTTGTTTTTAAGATCTTAGGGGAGGGGTGGGGGGATGACAGAGCATGGTTTAAATTTGTAGTGATTAATTCCAGGTACAGCAAAAACCAGAGGTTAAATGCCGGCACCGAAGACTGACAATCTATCCTTAGCACAGTTCATACGGACTCCCCAATCCGTCCAGCATTGTAAATGCAACATGAAGGTAATTGTGAGATGATAAACTATAGATTTATATACACAAAAACACCCCATACACAAACAAAACACCCACACAACCCCCCTCAGACACCTAAAAGCCACCACGTCTCAATCTTTACATTTAAGGTACATATCCTATAATCAGGAAAATTAATGAATATATCCCGCCCTAAAATAGGATTTAAAAACGAGTTAAAGGGAATATTTTCTAGAGGGAAAATCTTTATTACAAATTTATTTTTTTATTTTGTTGTTTGTTAACCAACAGTCAAACTCTTCCCTGATTTAAATACAAATCTTACAAGCTAGTAATATCATTGTTATTCTCAAGTTTACCTCCCCGATCGTCTGGTCAATTGGGGTCCTTGCTTTTATGCCTATTACATGTCATTTCATATCAGCAGTTCGACAACTTCTAAATCCCACAGCCACTAAGCACTCCTTCTAGGACGACACACTTCTGCAAGGCTCCAAAATATGCACAATATATTTCCTCTTTCCGGATAATTTAGTTCACTGGGATACGTTTTGCCCATTTAGGAAATAAAAAGGTGCTTTCCAATATTTGTTTAAATAAATTATAATGATTTCTCTTCTCCATCAAAGTTTGAAATAGAAAAAGAAATTAATGAGGTGTATCTTCACTAAACACTATCCTAGGTATATGAATTTTATGTTGCTCTGTGCAAGAAAGAAAAGGGAAATATATTTTGGTGACCAGGCAAAACAATGAGAGTGTGTGAGAGAATGGGAAATGTTAAATTTTCTCTCAAGTTCAATTTCAAATCATCTGTAAGTTAGGGTGGGGGGAAAACATTGTGTTTCATGCTTCCTCTTTCAAATGTTCTGCTAAGGAGTAGAGTTAGACAAATCTGGGTATTTCAGATTTCTTGTAGTGCTCAAGCAGAGAAAATTAAACACCTAATACCTTAGAAAATCTCTGAAGTTAAAAAATGACCTTTCCTTGCATAATTTTGGAGGTAACCTAGCTGCGTAATTATATTTGCACTTACAGAAGACTGCATCAGAGTTCCCTTATTGGTTTGAAATTCCATTAAATATATTGCAAGAGCTCCTAGGTTAAGCTTGATTTAAATTTGCATACATTTTCATATATTTAGCAGAAATAAAAGAAGGCTTGCAGCTACCAGAAAGTCATTAAGGCATTAGTTTCTCTGAGAAGACAGATCTGGAGAAAATTCAAGAAAATGAATCTCTTTCTCTATATATAAACAAGGTGAGCTTTCCTCTGATTCCTTCATAGCTAAGCAACATCAGTTTCTTCATAATAATAATAATAATAATAATTTCTCATCGAAGCCTAAACCAGCACATATGATATTTGTAAATTTGAATGTAATTATTAAAAAGATGCATGTGGTAAATTGTTTGAAATAGATTTCGATATTTCTAAAAAATAAGTTATGGAGAAAGATGTTCATTTCCTCTGTGTTTTCTACCGAATTAGGAATGTGCTTTTACATAAAGGGCAATGCCATTCTTGTATTGATGGTGCTCCATTTTCAGGGTTTTCGCCGCTTTTAACCTAGATGTTTATTGTATTGTATCTATTTGTTTATTTTGAGGCCACTTTTGCAGCGAAGTGGGGTCCCTGCCCCCTTTGAGAGTTGCGGTGCTGTTGGTGACTGCCTCTAAAATCGAACTTCGGGAAACTTTTCAGGTGCAGGGGAGGCGGCTCGCTTGGAAAATCGTTGGAAAGCGTGTTGTGAAGGGTCAGTTGAGAGGTCAGAAGATGAAAAATGTCTCTGCAAAAGAGAACGATAGCCCCTTTGCCCATTTCAAAGCGACATTTCTGACGGCAAAATTCCTAGTCAGACTCCAGCCATTCAGACTGCGGTTGATCATATGTATGGAAAGATATGGAAATAGACTACACAAGACTTTTAACATAAATATTACCGGTGCCTGATGCCTGGTGGTGGTAGTGGGAGAGAACTAATACTATGTTATAAATGTAACTAAATTATTTAAAATTAATTTGCACTCTAGATTCTAAAATATTTTTTCCAGTCCTTCTGCTCTTGAAAATGAATGTTCAGATGAGCCGTTTAATTATAGTCGAGCCTTTAACGGGGAAATAAAACCCTGAATATCAGATTTTAATTTTTTTTTAAATGTAACCAAGCCAGAAGCCAGCGCCATAACGGTGAGCTCCTAGTAGACTCCGATCTCGCCTATAGGAGAATATGCTTTATTTTAAAGTCTTTTTATCTGCATATAGTTAAATCTTCTTGCTGTTCTAACTAATCTGCTGGAGAGGGTTTCTTTAGCTCTTTCCTGTCAGTCTAACTTCCCAAGTGTAACAGATGCCGCTCTCAAGCGGTCCTTTCTGCTGCTTTTCTTTATTCAGCCTCGCATATTTCTCCCCATGATCTGGGTTTCCATAGAGAGAGGAATAAAAGGGGGACCATGGCCACAAATCCCCTGTCCCATGCAGAATAAAAGAGCCTTATTCAATAGACGACCCCGTCTGGACATGGGAGAAAAATAAGTACATGCAAAGCTACTGTTGCAAGAATTTGTAACTTATTTTTCATAGACTGAGACCCATTAAAGTACTAAAAGTTTGTGGGTCTGGACTCTGCTCTTCAGCTGTTTGGCTAGAGATGCCTTTTCACTCGAAAGATCCATGTTTACCCAACAAATAACTAGTTTTAATATTTTTTTTCTGCTAAATCTCTGCCATGAATAACAATAGCTCAAGGAGCCTGCCGTTTTGGGGAAGCTAGAAGTCGCTATAGAGAGAAACCACCATTGAAGTAGAGGAGCTGTAATTGTGTCGAGTCCACACACTTTCCAAAGTAAAAGGCAGGACCGTTGAGTTTCTCAGGTCACCTCAGTACATGGCTCAAACTTTCTTTCTGGTGGTTATTGGGCTGACGGCGGTACCAGCCAACAAAGCGTTAAATCAAAGTCTGCAGGGCGAGTGGATTTGCAACTCCTTGTTCTTGTGGGCACTTGTAATAAAGCTTGTCGTGGGCGCCTCTGTTAGAGGAGAGGAATGGCTCGCCAAAGCCAGGAAACACAGGTTTCCCTTTAAGAAGCGGTTACTGTAAAACAATGCGTGTGTGTGTGTGTTATAGCTATGTCTATAGACACATGTATATAGTATAATTCGCTGACAGGAGCTATCCAAGGAGTACTGAGACTGGGTTTATTATCCTGGCAAGATTTGATTCTATTTTAGAGATGTTGCCATTATTCATCTGCAGGGGGAAAAGTGGTCTAGAAGGGGGTTCGTTTTGATTGTGTTTAATACAGCATGAAGCTCCAGGCGGTAAGCTCTGGCTCAGTGTCGTGACCCCTACATTGAAAACTTCACCTTCAACACAAGTTCACTTTAGAGACAGTTCGAGTTAGATTGGACTTGGTGGGAACAAGTTTACATTTCAAAACAGAATCAGACATAACGGGGCCTGGGGTATGGGAGGGACAAGTTAACTGTTTCTTACATCAGGAGTGAAGTTTTTTAATTGTGTACCCTGAACCCCCGCTCACCAGATGGATAGCTGAAAACAGGCTACTGTACCTCCCGAGTTAGCCTTCTAAAAACCCTGCCTGCATGGGGGAAGGTAAGGAGGAAAAGGAGAATGTACAGAGTATTACCAGAAATTAGCCAATACCGACACAAGCCCAATTAATTCCCTTTTTGGGTCTCTGTTGGCTGTTCTTGAACGTGAGTAAATGCTGTGCTGCGAGGGAGACACCGCATAGTGCGATCTCAGCACCACTGCCAGGCGAAGGACAGACACTGCAAATTAAAATATTCCTAATGTAAGTTTTAACGCAACCCCCCCAAATCTCTAGGAACACGAGCCCTTCAGTAATAGCCCCAGCACTGACGGAGCATTGTTGTGGTGGGGGTTGGTTCTGCATTATGGACAGAGGATGGGGAGGGACAATAAAGCAAGTCACTGGCAGAGAAAACCACAAGGTAAATAACATTTGTATTCTAACCGCTGCATTCTCCAAATAGGTTTCATGCGACTCCTCGCCGCTCTGCTCGAGTCACCTGTTATTTTCACTGGTCCATTGTTAATGTCTGAGAAATGTACTTGCCGGCAAAAAGAAAACGTGTTCATTTGTGCACCATCACGTCTTGTGAAGGTCACTGTGATTTTTGGCTTTGGTTAATTTGTAGCAGGTATTGTAGATAACATTTGGTTAATTTGCCATTTAGATAGAAAATATTCTGGAGAATCTCTCTAGAGTGCAAATGTTGACACTAGAACCTGTCTTGCCTTTTATTACAATCAGAGCATTTGAACGTCGGGTTTGTTGTTCTTAATCCAGAAATATGGGTGGTAAAAAAGGACCCAGATTTTTCGGGCTGAAGTCTTAAAATGTTTGTGAGGCTCCGGTACACAGTATTTTGAAGTGGGCGGATCAGTTTCTCAGACGTCTGTAAGTCGGTTATTTAACTCTACACCAGTTTTTAAGGTCACGTAAAGAATGGCGTAGAGATTTTTTAAGGTCACACGGAGCTGCACACAATTGCAGTCCCCTTCCCCTTTCCGTATGCACTTTTCTGATACTGTGATCATTCGAATATATGTCTGTGTGCGTCTGTCTGTGATGATTTCATAGTTAATTGAGATTCTGAGATTTTTTTAACGTGTGTTCAACACACCTTCCAAACCTATGTAAGTCCTCAATTTCGATCTTTTCTTAGCAGTGTAAATGTGTAGGCAATAATGACCATATACACTTAAAGAAACAGAAACTAATTCAGTCTCAAAATCAAAAGCCACGTTGTGCATATTTTAAAAATAATTACAATTCAATTCCTTTTTATACCGATTTCTGTTCAGGAATGCTTGCAACAAAATGGATTGGATCTGAAAATGCACTAAATGGTACACTATTTAACCTCTGCTGACTAATGGGACATCGAAGACAAATAGCTCTCTTCCTCGGATGACAAATACCTGTATTGGTGTTTATTAGCTCGCCGAATAATTTCAGTTTGATTTTTTTTCGGCTGTTCATTTCTCCAGCTTTATCACTCCGCGTGCACATGATTCAATGGTACTGATGATCCAGAGACCTGTGTGTCTCTTGCACTTTGGAAGTACTTCATCATTCTGAGGATAATATATATTTATTGTCCAGTTGATTTTTTTTTCTGGAAGAGGAAATGTTTATGGTCCAATAGGAAGTTTATTCACTGTTACACGTACATTGGCGCAATCAATCCCGAAATGAGAATTGAACGTTCAAACCATATTAAGTATCTAAAAGGCATTTTTATCTAAAATGCATCCACAAGATGTGTGTTTTAAAAAAAATGTAGAGGGATGAGACATTGCTTGGTCATCTAAGACATTTCCTTTGCAGCTGAATGTTTGGTAGCAGCCTTGTTTGTTGCTTGTGTTAGTGGCTGTACGTTCACGTGTTTGGGATGTGCAGGGACTAGCATGAATCTGCCTTTGGCAAGAAACATGGCAATGAATCGGTGCAGAGAAAGGAGGCTGCAGAACCAAAACAAAGATTTCAGACAAGTGACAAATAAGAACGTAGCAGGGACGTCCACGGCGAACTCCTAGAGCTTCAGAGCTGTCTGTTTCCAAGGCACTCACAACCTGTTGTATAGGAGGGGGGTTCGGGTAATTGGGGGTCATTCCTTAGTTGGATTCCGGTTTATAACGGGTCCTTTGCAAACCCCACAAGGGGCGAGCTGGCGAGCAGTGCGTGGGGGCAAAAGAAGGATGAAACGTCTAGGCTTCTGGTGCAACTACTGGGCGAAGGGCAGTGTAAATGTTGGGGGGAGGGGCGGAGGGTGACTTGCAATGGGTTGCGCCTGGTGCCTGCAGCGCCTAGCTGCGGTAGCACAACCCAGACACCGGCTGCGCTTCCTTGCACCAGCCCAGCCTGCAGGAGCGGCCGGTGCGTGTCACCGTTTCCCCAGCACGCTGCTGCTGCCTCCCGGACGTGGAGCCGCCTCTCCGTGGAGGGCTCCTCTCCTTCCCGCTGCCCCGAGGGCCGCCGCCGCTCCCCCAGTCCCACTGACCAAGCGCTGCCCCGCTCTGTGCAGCCGGGAGGGGAAGGGCAGCAGCCTCCCGCGAACGCTGCTCTGAATGGGAGAAGCCCTCGGCGTAACGAGCCCGCATTTCCTATGGAGCGGAGCCTGCGGCCACGAACGAGTTAATCCTGGTCCTGTCAAGGGCAGCAGTGCCCAGACTTTGAGTTTAACCCACCTAATCTTCATGAAAGGAG